CAGCTAAAATGGCTTCTACTGAAAGGGTAAAAATAATGAGACGTCATACAAGCAATAAAGGGTTGCTGTCCGAGACACAATAAAAAACACTCTGGATTCTTCTTATGGGGGTTCCAGAAAGTTTCCATGAACTTTCCATGGCCCAATGCCATTGCCCTTCTGTCTTTGCTCCATCTCAGACAGGAGGGCCGTGCTTATCTGAAGCTGGTACCACAGGCCAAGAGCCAGGGGACACTGCCTAAACAGGACCTGGACACCACACAGTCATGATCACTATTGGGACTTCAGGTTTGGGATGAGGCTTCTCCTAGTGCAACTGTTCCATTGGAACCTGGGACCCTGGCAGGCCTGCTGGGATAGGCAGACAACATAATGGATACTTCAGGGAAACCTGAATATGCTGGGATACCACCACCCTAGCTGGAGAACCCAGCTGGAGGGCAGGACCCCACAGTGCAACTGTGATTTCTGTGCTAATTCCACCCTGGCCTTGGGAGTTAGAACTGCGCCTGGAACAAGTCATGGCAACTGAGGTCCCTTACCTAACTCCACCCCGGCTGCAAGAGGGAGAACTGAGCTGAGACCCATTAAAGGGAATTGAGGTTTATGAGCTAATTCCACAACTGCTATGGGAGGTGGAACCACACATGAACCCTGTAGTGGCAACTGAGATTCCTGAGCTAACTCCATCCCAGCAGGGTATGCTGAACTGGGCAGTTTCTAGTCTGCCAACTGAGATTCTTGAGCTAATTCCACCTGGCTGTGGGAGGTTGAGCCAGGTCAGGTCCTGGAGATGGGAACTGAGCTTCCTGAACTAACTCCACCATGAATGGGAGAGGTAGAATAGGGCCAGGCCCACACCATAGCCACTGAGTTTCCTAGGCTAACTCCACCCCTGGCTGTGGGAGCAAGAACCAAGCTAGGACTCAGTCATTGCAACAGAGGTCCCTGAGCAAATTCCACCCTCGCTGGGGGAGGAGGAAGCAGGCCACAAAAGAACCTGAGGTTCCTGAACTAATTCCACCCTGGTGGTGGGACATAGAACAGGGGCAGGAATCTTCAAAACAACTGAGTTTCCTTTGCTAACAGCACCCAACAAGGGGTGGTAGAACCATGACAGTAAAGGCAACTGAGCTTCCTGAGCTAACTCCACCTTGGCTGCGAGAGATAGAACCTGGGCCAGGGTCTGTAATGATAATGGAGGTACCTGATCTAACCCCATATCCCTGGGGGAGGGAGAACTGGACCAGAAACCCAGAACATCTCCTGATTTTCCTGAGCTAACAACACCCAGCTGGGGAAGGTAGAAATGGGCCAGGACCAGGTAATGGCAACTGAGGTCCCTGAGCTCACAACACACTGGCTGGGGAAGGTGAACTAGGCAAGGATCTGCTAGGCCACTGAGGTTCCTGATCTACAACAAATCCAACCCCCTGGGGGAGGGAAAACTGGGCCTGGACCTAGTAATGCAATGAAAACTCCTGAGCTAATCCACTCTGCCAGTCAGGTCAATGTCCAGTTCGTCTAAGCACCTGCCACACTGGACAGTCAGCATCTGGGCTGAGGGAGCTCCCTGAGTCAGCTTGTAGTCTATTAACCAACCCCAGGATAGACTTCAGGCTCGAGAAAAGAACAGGGAAGCCCCCCAACCTTGGTGGGAAGCATCAGCACACTGGCTATTTGGCTCACACCTCCCTGGGTCCGCTGGTCTTCCTTCTAGTGATGCTCGCCCTTGGACCTTGTCTTTTTCATCTGGTCACATGGTTTCTCTAGTCCTGTTTGGAGGCTGCTAAGCTCCAAGTGTTAGCTAGACAATAGGGGCCCTTTACCTCCTTTCCTAATGCTTCCTATGAGTCTTTGCATGGATATGCCCTAGCATATAGTAGGGGTATCAAAAGGGGGGAAATGAAGCAGGAATTTCCCTAGTCTCCTGCTTGTGGGAGTCTGCTTCTCAGATTCTGCTGCTTGCTGGAGCAGAGAAGTTAGTGGGTGAAAGGCACTGCTTGTTCACACTGCTTGACCCCCTTCCCGAACAATAAAGAATACTTATGCTATTGTGCATGGGATAGCAAGTTTCCCATACAAACTGTATAAAACACTGCTGTTTTTGCTCTTGGGTGCTCAGCCTTTTGGGAATGATCCCACCGAGGCCGCCGGTGTGACAAGTAATCTCTCTCTCCACCTCTCTGAGTGTGTCTGATTTCTCTGTGAATTTGCCATTAACACTTGGACAGAATGATCTTGATGGCCACCCCCATGCCCATGAGTGTGTGCAGCGTGAGCTTCACCTTGGTTTGGGCACCCTCCCCAGCATCTGGAACACCAGGTAGTTTTTGATTTTAGGTCCCTTGGGAGTGAGGCACCTAAGCCTAGTGAGTGTGGACTGCCCTGACTACACTCACCAGCCCTGACAGTGGTAAGAGACCTGAGCTACCTCTGCTGACAGCAGTAGCTCTGCTACTATATTAACAAATGTACCCAGTTAATGACAACGTGTAGAATGCTTGAGAGGCCATTTCATTTGTACTGAGAAAACCTGTCCTTGGTTTGACTTTTAATGGTCTCTCCATACAGTCACTGCCTTAATCTCTGATGGGTCTTAAAAATGACACTACACCATCAACTGACATTATCAAACTATACAATGTTTTGAGCTTAAGACTCAACAAAGTCCATTCGTCACATTCTAACATTGAAAACCCTCTGGGACATGGTTTTCCTCCATTTTTGCCAATGAACTGAGAGTGCCCATCAGCCACCTCGCAGGCCAGAGGCAGGGGCGGCTCTGGAAGGCGAGTAGATGCTGTAAATCTGGCCTTAGGTTCCCTCTTACCCGTGTCTGCTGCTCTCTTATCTTGCCTGCTAGTGCGAGTGCACAGCCCCTTCCCTTACTGTCAAGAATGTTGTTAGCAGCACAACATGGGGTGTGTGTCCATCAAGTGGTGCTGCCTGCCATGGTCACCCTGTGCTGTGAGGACACCCTCTGACTCAGAACTGAGGTACAGGCCAGAAAGGGCTGGGGGCAGCTAGCGGTGGTCAGCTTCCACCCAGATTTCTGGCTTAGAAACATCTGCTTCTGGGGCCCCCCAGGTGGCGCAAGGGATTAAGATGCAATCTATGAAGCTGTCAGCAACCACTGCAGCAAGAGTTCGATCCCCAGCCAGGGAGCTACGCACATGTCACAGCAAACTTCTGATGCGCGCTGCTCGTCTCAGCAGTGTATTTCAGTAGATCTGCCTGTTTTGTCCCACACTCTATCTGGTGAATCATCTCACCCCCACACCTCTGGCTTATACCTCAGTTCTTCCATGCATAAATAAATAAATCTTAAAAACAAAGTAATATCTGCTTCTTGCTCGAATGGGGGGCTTGGGGAGGGAGGATGTTGACAAAGGATAGGTCCAGACTGTGACACTGAGTCCTGCCAGGAATTGCCTGGCATCTGGAAATGGTGGGTTCACGTGAACAATGGGGGTCTGTTGCTACTCAGGCTGCAGTTTCCTTTCACACCCCAGGCCTACCCTGATCATTCACCCATAGTATCAGCTGAGGACAGTCTCACCTGAGCAGCCTGGAGCACAAAGAGAGCCCCAAAACTCAGAATCATTGGCTTAGGAGTGTCAGTGAAACAGGGGTGAAGAAGGCCACAAATGAGCCACAGGGCAGGAGGCTGGATAGGTGGAATGGCCACCCACCTGCCCAGTCTCTGAGACCAGAAGCCACCAAAAAGCCCCAGAAGGCCAAAAGGCCAAAAATTAAGACCAAGAGCTTAGACTCAAAAGACAGTGCCCGACACGAAGACAGGCCACTGTCTGTGGGTTCTCACCCACACACACAATTGCAAGACACATTAGGCTCCAGAACAACAACCATAAGGGTTATTTTACAAAGAGGGGAAACAAAGAGCTCACTGTATCCACAAGTGGCAGCTGCTTCACACAGGTAGCATCAGTGATGATAGCCACCGGTCATCAGGAATGCTGCACAGCACTAGCTAGCTGCATGCACACACATGTGTAGACTCGCATGCATACACTTGCAGAGACACATTGCAAAACATGCACATAACCCTAACGAAAATAGTTCAAATACCTAATGACATACTCGTTGGGAGTTTTGCTTCACTATCTTATGTCACTGTGTTATCACCACGGGACCAATCAGACTTTTCTAAAATATTCTAAATGCTTTCTAAAATTTTCTAAATTTTCACTGCTGATCATAGGAATTTTAAAGCAAATTTAGGTATCGATGACCCATGTGTTGGAAGTGTGGGTGCATTCATCTGTATGAAGCAAATGCAGTCAGTTTCAGACACTGATTTAATGTGTCACGTGATAGACATGTTAACAAAATTATCCATTTCTGACTGTGTCCTTCAGATGCCTCCACAACCCAGTCTCCTGCAGGCAGAGCAGGTCCTCTGGAGGTGCCCCCTGCAGTGGGGAGCCAGTCTTTCCATTGGTGGCCGCCTCCCTTACCATCCGGGACCTGCATGGAAGAAAAGAGCCAATAAAGCCCAAGCACAGAGTTACCTGTTCAGGATGCTATTTGGCCAGCAAAATCCCCTCTGGGCGGGCTGCACAGACCTGCTTTTACAAGGCTCAGAAGGAAACCAGGAGGCCCTAGGAGCTCCACTAGCTGGCGAGCGAGTGATTCTCCAATTTGGAATTTCAGTTTTGAAAAGGGACCAAATCCAGGGGTACTTGTTACCGTGGCTGTCAGTCAGTGACATTGCTACTCAGATGGAAGAGCTCCTGCATCCTCTGCGCCATCCATGTGCCCAGGGGTCGGCAGCATGGCTCTCCCAGCAAGGAGGCAGGGTGGGCCTCAGGGGACAGCGCCTAAGATGGGGGAGCAAGGCCCGGGATTTCCTGCCTCTGGCCCTGGGGCCTCTGGAGGCTCCGCCCACACAGCCCCACACCCCTCCTGGGGCCCTGTACCTGCTCAGCTCTCCCCAAACCTTCCACGCCGCCCCCCCCCAACCTTAACCCACTCTGCTCCCCTCCAGGTGCTTCACCAGTTCCGTTGCCCTCCTGGCCCTTCACCAGCACTGTTCCAGGGACATCTGTGCTCCAGTGACATCGGTGCTGCCCAGACTTCTGGGCTGCAGTCCTGTGTGCCTTATGCTGCTCCTGGCCCCTCTGACTGGGCCCAGCCCCTGAGCCTCTCCAGAGCCTCACCCTTCCCTGGTGTGCTCCTGGTCACCATGTCCACTGAGTGGTTGTGCTTTGGGGGAAGGGAGCGGAGGCTTCTGTGGGGTATGGCAGTAGATGTTCTTACTTTCTGTTGCTGTGGAGTCCAAATAGTGGACAGCAGCAACAAAATGTCAAGATTCTGTTTATTATTCTCTCAGCTCTGGCCCTCTTGCCTTGGCTGGAAACACCTTGAGGGCTTGCAAGGCAACCATTTTCCACCTGGCTGATTGTTTCTGAAGGGGCCACTGCATTGGTATGGCACCAGCCACGCCTTGGCAGAGGTGCTAGAGGACTGGAGGTCTGGACTGATGGCGTTGGCCCTGGTCCCCCTCCAGCTGGGGACCTGACACAGTGGTGGTGCTGTATTCCCCGATGTCCTCCAGCTGGGGGCCTGGCACAGTTGTGGTGCTGTGCTCCCCGGCATCCTCCAGTTGGGGTCCTGGCACCGAGGTGCTGCTGTCCTCCCAGGCGTCCTCCAGCACAAGGCCTAGTGGGGAGGGTCAGCTCTTCTCTGGGGATCCTCCAGCGGGGGGCCTGGCATGCAGGTGGCACTGTTCTGCGGGGCATCCTCCAGCAGGGGGCCTGGCAAGGAGGTGGTGTTGTGCTCCTGGGCATCCTCCATCTCAGGGACTCTGGCAGAGATGTCCTTGTTCCCCGGGGTGGCATCCTTTCCCCTCTGTTGGACTGCCTGTTTACGAAGGATATCTGGTGTTGCAGGCTTTTGGGTATTCCCCGAAACCTCAGGCTGTGGGGGGAAGTCCACGGAATCCAGGTCACCATGGGGCACAGTGTGAGGGAAGGGCTCATGGAAGGAGATGCTCCTCCACCACTCCTCCTTCTCGTGGTCCTCCTCCCTGTCCTGCTTCCTGGAGCGGAGGATCAGGTATGTGCCCGTGACCTCATCATATCTTCTCCATGGCCTGGTGAATTTCGTGCCTCTGGTAGCCCAGACATTCCATGGCTTTCATTATGGCTGGGTCCTGGTAGCCGAGGGACGGTTCGCTGAAGGGCAGGAGTCCCTTCCTCATTTCCACCCAGGGGTGCTGCTTGATGCTCTCCAGGGTGCTGCGTCTCTGGGAGTTCAGTGCCAGCATTTTGGTCAGCAGGTCCCGGCACTGGCCCGAGAGGTAGGAGGGTGGGTGGAAGTACCCGCCTAGGACGCGGTCCCTGATCTCCCCAGGGCTGGTCCCCCCTGAAGAGCGGTGTGCCAGTGACCATTCAGTAGAGGATGACCCCCAGGCTCCACATGTCCACCGTGGGTCCGTTATAGTGCTGGCGAAGGTAGACCTCGGGAGCCCTGTATTCTGGGCCGCGTACAGCAGTACACGCTCAGCTACTTGTTGAAGCCCTGGACGCTGAGCCCGAAGTCCGCCACTTTACTTTTCTCTCTTGGTTCAGCAGAATGCTCTCGGACTTCACATCCCGGTGTGCGATGCCTTTGGCGTGGCAGTAGCTGAGGGCTGAGAGGATCTGTTGAAATATCTGGTGGGCCTCGCTCTTTAACAGGCACCCACGCTTGCTCAGGTAGTCCTGCAGGTCGCCCCCATCCACGGACTCCATCACGAGCTGCAGCTCCTCCCCGGTGTCCACCACCTGGAATAGCTTGAAGATGTTCGGGTGGTGAAGTGCCTTCATGCGCCCCATCTCGTGGGTTAGGAGTCGGAGGTCGGGCAGCTCGGACTTGCAGATGTCCTTGATGGCCACCTTTGTGCCCGTGGTGCACGAATAAACAGCTAAAACAAATAACTAAATAAGTAAACAAATAAACCAAAAGAAAACCAAATAAACCAAAACACGCTATTGCTCTCTCTGTCCGAGTCCACAGGTCACTATCCCAAAGCTTCCTGGCTCCTAAGGACACAGCCGCAGTCCGGCAGGGCTTATGTAGGCTCTGCTGGTGCCTTCACAGTGGCTCTTTGTGGCGTCAGAGCCAGAGGCCACAGCCATCCATCGGCAGAGGGAAACCCCAGTGGTTTCTCAGCTTTAAAGAAAAAGCTACCACCAAGAGATGTGTTTACGGGACCTACTAGAGTTTGAAATGTACGACAGTTACAGTTAACGACAGTTAACGACAGTTAAGGACAAGCCATAGAATGCTTGAGAGGCTGTTTCATTTGTGCTGAGAAATCCTGTCCTAGGTTTTGGCTTTTCAAGATCTCCCCATACTGTCACTGCCTTAATCTCTGATGCCTCTCAAAATGACATGATGCCAACAACTGACATAATAAACGACACAAAGTCGTGAGCATGAGACTCAACACAGTCTGTTCTTCACATCCTAACATTGAAAACACTCTGGGACATGGTTTCCCTCCATTTTTGCCCATGAGCTGAGCATGCCCATTGTCCACTTCGCAGGCCAGAGGCAGGAGTGGCTCTGGCAGGCGGGCAGATGCTGTAAAACTCAGCCTGTGGGTTCCCTCTTGCCCATGTCTGCTGCTCTCCTGTCTTGTCTGCTAGTGCCAGGGCACAGCCCCCTCCCTCACTGTCAAGAGTGTCACCAGCAGCACAATGCAGGGTGTGTGTCGTCATGTGGTGCTGCCTGCCATGGTCGCTCTGTGCTGTGGGGACACTCTCTGATGTGACTCAGATGGGGCTGGGGGCAGCTGGGGGGTGGTCAGCTCCCACTGAGATTTCTGGCTTAGAAATATTTGCTTCTGGGCCTCCCCGGTGGCGCAGTGGTTGAGCGCTGGGTTGTGAAGCTGCCTGCGGCCTCTGCGGCACCGGTTTGATCCCCGGCTACTCCCCGGCCACCGGAGGAGGGTCCCGCATGGCGCGCAGACCTCTCCTGCCGACCGCTGCTCCCCTCAGCAGTGTACTTCTGTTCTTCTGCCTGCTCTGCTCCCCACTCTGGCTCTGGTGAATTCTCTCACCCTCCCGCACTTCTGACTGTACCCAGTGCTTGTATAAATAAATAAATAAATCTTAAAAAAAAAATTTGCTCCTTACTCGAGCTGGGGATTGGGGCAGGGGAGGGGGGAGTTAGTTGGCAAAGGACAGGTCTAGATGCTGTGCACCTGAGCCCTGCCAGGAATTACCTGGCATCTGGAAATGGTGGGTGCAGGTGACTGATGGGTGTACTCAGGCTGCAGATTCCTTTCACCCTCCAAACCTACTCTGCTCACTCAGGTATCAGCAGAGACCTGAGTCTCACCTGAGCAGCCTGGATCCCAGTCAGCATCCCTGAAGCTCAGAAGCATTGGCTCAGGGGAGTGGGGACTGATACTGCTCCAGTACCTCTTTTCCCAGGTCCAGAGAGCAGAGGGTTTGATTTGGTTCAGGGTGTGAGGACACACGGGGCAGGCTTCCCGCTGGTCTGTCTGCCCCTGGGGAGCCTGAGCAATCAGTGGCTTTGAGAGGTTCTGTTGCTCCCTCCTGCCAACTGCTGCTGCTGCTGAGCTGTGGTGCAGAGCATGTCATGGCCACTTCCGTTTCGGTTGCTGATTCCAATGCCCATTCCAGTTTTTCTCTCAAACCTGCTTGCATGTCTCCTTTGCTTCACTGTCCTTAACTGAACTAATCCATCCCATGGTTTCCAACATCCCTACAGACCCATGACCTCAAAATGTCTCCTTCTGACCCACATCTCCCTCAATCCCAGCTCTGAGAACCACTTGCCTAGTCCTCACCTCCGCTCAGGTGTTTCAATCAGCGTCACCAGAATCACATGGCCACAATTGTGTAGGGTTTTTTAGATTTAGTTTTATTTATTTATGCATACAAGTACGGGGTTCAGGCCAGAGGTGCTGAGGCTGAGAGGATTCACCAGAGACATTTGGGGATCAGAACAGGCAGATGTTATGAAATCCACTGCTGAGGGCAGAAGCAGGGACACAGGAGAGGTCTGCTGGCCCTTGTGGGTAACTCCCTGGCTGGCTGGGGATTGAGCTCGTGCTGCAGAGGCTGCCCATATCTTCACAGTGCTGTGCTGAAACCCTCCGTCACCAGGGAGGACTCACTTTTGAAGCCATGATACCAATTCTCTACAGCTCTCTGTGTGTCTTTTTGATGGTAGAAGGGACATGAACAATTCCTACCTATAGAACCGCACACATGCACACACACATGTACCGACTCACACGCACACTTGCACAAGACATGCACATATGCCTAAAGAAAATATTGCAAATACCTAATGACATACTCCTTGGTAGGTCTGTTTCACTATCTTATGTCACCGTGATATCACCATGTGGCCTATCTGACTTTTCTAAAATTTTCTAAATGCTTTCTACAATTCTCAAGCAAATCCAGATATCTGATGACCCATGTGTTGTAGTGTGGGTGCATTCATACATGAGAAGCAAATGCAGTCGGTGTCAAACACTGAGTTAATGTTTTATGGGCTAGACATGCTCACAGAATAATCCATTTCTGACTATCTCCTGCAGGCAGAGAAAGAGCATTGAGATGCCTCCACACCCCAGTGCCCCGCAGGCAGAGCAGGTCTCCTGTAGGTCCCTCTTGCAGTGGGGAGCCATTCTGTCCATCAGCAGCCGCCTCCCACACCATCCAGGACCTGCGTGGAATAGAAGAACCAATAAAGCCCAAGCACAGTTACCTGTTTAGGATGCTCTTTTGCCAGTGAAATCCCTTGGGGCGTTCTGCACAGACCTGATTTTAAAAGGCTCGATGGAAACCAGGAGGCCCTAGGAGCTGCCACTAACTGGAGGTTGAGTGATTCTCCAACTTGGAATTTCAGTTTTTAAAAAGGGCCACATTTAGGGGGACTTGCTACATACCATGGCTGTCAGTCAGTGACAATGCCACTCAGACAGAAGAGCTCCTGCGTTCTCTGTGCCATCCGTATGTTGTCCAGTGGGTTGACAGCAGGAGTCTCCCAGCAAGGGGACAGGGTGCCTTCAGGGGACAGAGCCTAAGATGGGGAAGTGAGGCCCAGGGTTCCCATGTCACTAGCCCTGGGGCCTCTGGATGCTCCATCACGCATAGCTGCACACCCCTCCTGGGGCCCTTCATCTGCTCATCTCTCCCCAACCCTCCAGCCCCCACCCTTCACCCGCTCTGCTCCCCTCCAAGTACTTCACCAGTTCCGTTGCCCTCCTGGCCCTTCACCTTCTCTGCTCCTTGGACTACAGTGCTCCCCAGATATCTGTGCTCCAGTCCTAGCATCTCATGCTGCTCCTGTCCCCTCTGACTGGGCCCAGCCTCTGGCCCCTCTCCAGAGCCTCACCTTCCCCTGGTGTGCTACTGTTCACCATGGCCACTGGGTGGCTGCACTTTGGGTGGGACTTCTGCAGGGTGTGGCGGTAGATATTCTCAGTCTCTGGTTGTGTGAACTCTGCTGTGGAGTTGGAATGGTGGACAGATGCAGCAAAATGCTAATATTTGTAAGGTCAAGGCCAGGGCAGCGATGAGGCAGAGGGAGGAACTTAAAACTGCAGCCACCTGCATCCTGAGAGCTGGCTCTAACCGGTTTGCACCGTGCCTGATAAGCAGCCATGAAAGAACAACAAGTTGCAAGAGAGAACAACTTCTTTGAAAAGCAACTTCACTCTACCTCCCACCAAGGCCAGGCCCCCTGTCCTATAAAAGATTACCTTCATCCCCTGAGAGGGGCAACTTGTCTGACCCCTGCGGGAGTCAGTGAACTTCACCAGGGCCCAATACATTTTTTGCCTGTGAGAAACTTAGCCTGGCTTTCCTTTTCTTTACTGTGTCAAACCCTTTCATCTGGGTGCTGAACCTGGGAAGGCTGTGTCTCCTGGCACCGGGGCCGCCTTCCTGTCCCTGGGACCTCTCATCTCCATTGCAGACGCCTCACATCCACCACCGGCCTGGATACTTGGGGTAAGTCCTCTGCCTGACCCTCCTTCCTAGGAAGCCCTCGCCTCTGGCTATCCAGCTCCTTTCCTAACTCCCTGTTTGGTCGGCTGTCCTGAAACCATGGGCCCAAATCAGCTGACCCCCTGTTACACTTAGTCCTGGATTTGGAGACACCTGTCCCAACTAGGTGCCCGGTTTAAGTCAACAGGCAAGCGGTGGAGACGTCTCCCTCGTCTGTCTGTCTCCTGTCCTGCAGGCAACAACCGAGTGGTGGAGACATCCCCCACACTTGTTTGCTCCCTGCCTGTTGACCAGAACAGAATCATGGGACGCTGCGATCCTGGGTCTGTGCCCCCTGTAGGCTAGTTCAGTCTCGTGGGATACCGCGTCCTGACACTGTGCCCCCTGTTGGTTGGGAAAAGGAGCTGGGTTAGCCATGGGGTCTGCAAATTCTAAGCCTTATCCAGTTACTACACTGGGATGCCTTCTCTCAAACCTCCGTCGGCTGGGACTAAGGCCAGATATATACCCTAAGTGACACATTTTTCTCTGCAACACTGCCTGGCCTCAATACCAATTGGATAATGGCTCTCATTGCCCAGAACACAACACTTTCAATTTCACAGTCCTTACAGACCTAAACAATTTCTGTTACCGCAATGGAAAATGGTCAGAGATCCCTTATGTCCAGGCTTTCTTTCTCTTGTGCTCCTGTCCCTCCCTCCCATCCCCTCTCCTAAAAACCTGCCACACTTTACAAGTCCTCCTTGCTCGAGACTCCTCTCATTCCCCACCCTCCCAAAGCTCTGCCTCTGATGCTAAAAAACTGCCTCACGACTGGTCATCAACTTTTTCAGATCCTCTAGATTCTCTTTCTTCACCTCCTTCAGCAACTCAGGGACCCCCCACCTTATCCAAGACCTGCCTCCAACTGCCCTCCATCCATAGCCCCCACACAATCCAGCCCCCCTCTTTCACATCCTAGCCACCACACACCCCCTCACTGAGACTGTTTTATTACCTGCCTCCTGGCTGGTCTCCAAGCAACAGGCTATAAACTTTGATAAGCTTGGGAAAAATCTCCCAGTCCACCTAAAAAAAAAAAACCAAAAAAACAAAAACAAAAAAACCCCCAAAAAACAAAAACAAAAACAAAAAAAAACCCAGCCCAGCAGCCTTTCTTAGCTGCCTCACTGAAGCCCTCCAGCAATATACCAGGCTCGACCCTCATTCACCCGGAGGCACCACAGTCCTGGCTACCCATTTCATATCTCAGGCAGCCTCCAATATCCAAGACCTGTTGAACATGGCCTTTAAGGTTTTTAACAACAGGGAGGAACAGGACAGGATGGATAGAGAGACCCGTAGTCGCCAAAAGGTTGAGCTTCAAGCTCAGGCCTAGTTGCTGCCTTGAGGCTGTCATGTCCAGCTCCTCCAATGACCACAGCGCCTGCCGATCGACAGAAGACAAAAATGGGCCCCACAGCGCTGGGAACTTCCTTCAAGTGTGGCCAGGAGGGCCACTGGTCCAAACACTGCCCCAAACCCCACCTTCCGCCAAGACCGTGTCTCATCTGCAGCATCCAGGGTCACTGGAAATGTGACTGTCCCCCCCCCCCCGCGCCTGGCCATGGTGGGCCAGTCCTTCCAGCCCCTGCAACTCTGCCACCAGCAGTCTTGGTTTTGGCAGATGAGGACTGAAGAGGCCCAGACTCATCAACACCAATAATCTTCGAGGAGCCCAGGGTAATGGTCAAGGTAGCAGGTAAGTCCATCTCCTTTTTGGTTGACACGGGGGCTACCTTCTCTGTCCTCCCCTCCTACCCAGGTCAGACTTACCCTTCTCAGATCTTGGTTATGGGAGTTGACGGCCAACCCCCTCAGCCTCAGGTTACTGGCCCTATCCCTTGCCAAATAGATATCAAGCCCTTAGTTCACGCTTTCTTAGTCATGCCTTCTTGCTTCACACAACCTCCTGACCAAAATCGGGGCTACTCTCTCATGGTTCCAAGATCCTAGTGCTGCCCTTATCCTCCCACTGCTCCAAACACCTCCTAATCCTCCTCAGGACTCCCCGCTGTCTCCTTCCACTGTTGACCCCGTGGTCTGGGATATCTCTACCCGAATTGTGGCTACTCATCACCAACCAATCCTGATCTCTCTCAAAGACCCCATCTCTTTCCCGGCCTGTCCTCATTTCCCTATCTCCCTAAGCCATCTGCGATATCTCAAATTCATCATTCAATGACTCTGGGACAAAGGACTTTTGGTTCCTACTAGCTCACCCTGCAACACTCCCATCCTACCTGTTAAAAAGCCTGACGGCTCATACCGACTAGTCCAGGATCTGCACCTTATCAATGATGTGGTGGTCCCCATACACCCTGTCGTTCCTAATCCTTATACGCTTCTCTCACACATTCCTCCCTCAACTACTCATTTCTCAGTCCTAGACCTAAAGGACTCCTTCTTTACTATTCCCCTTGACCCAAAATGTTATCATCTTTTTGCCTTCACATGGGAGGACCCTGACACAAACACATCTCAGCAACTCACCTGGACAGTCCTGCCTCAAGGGTTTAGAGAAAGCCCTCACCTCTTCGAACAGGCCCTCGCCATGGATCTAGCAGCCTGTGATCTCAGTCCTAGCACTGTCCTACAGTATGTAGATGACCTCCTTTTATGCAGCCCTTCACTGGAACTGTCAATCACACACACTGCACAACTCTTAAATTTCTTGAGTACTAAGGGATACCGGGCCTCGCCTTTAAAAGCACAGCTCTCCACCTCTACTTGGGCCTTTGGGTCACTCCCTCTACCAAACAACGCACTGTTGACTGTAAGGAGGCTATACGCTCCCTCTTGGTCCCTGAAAATGCTGAACAAATTCTGTCCTTTCTGGGTTTGGTGGGATTTTTCTGTCACTGGGTTCCTAATTTCGCCTTCTTAGCCAAACCACTATCTGAGGCTGCAAAGGCTACCTCCGAGAGCCCCCTCTGGACACCAGCTGAGGTGCGCAGGGCCTTCCTCCTTTTCAAACTGCTTGAGGCCCTCCAGCTGCCAGCCGAGGTGGCCATAGTTCACTGCAAGGGACACCAATTAGACTCTTCGGAGGTGACACGAGGCAACAAAATAGCGGATGAAACGGCCAGGGCCTTGACACGCCCTTGCCAGCCTTCTGTCACACGTGTTCTGTTTCTCTCTTTACCCTCTATCTCACCCCTCTATAAGCCTAATGAACGGACAAATCTTTCCAAGGGTGGCACTGAAGGAGAACAAGGTTGGGTTACATTTAACAATAAATTGGGGCCTCCCCTGGTGGCACACGTGATTGACCGCAGGGCTGTGAAGCTGTCCACAGCCTCTGCAGCGCTGGTTTGATCCTGGCCGGCCAGTGAGGGTCCCACATTGCTCTGCAAACCTCTCCTGCCTCGCCCGCTGCTCCCCTCAGCAGTGTATTTCATCAATCTGCCTGTTCTGTTCCCTGCTCTGTCTTTGGTGAATCATCTCACCCTCCCGCGCATATGGCCTGTATCCTGGTTCTTGTATATATAAAAAAAAATTCTATTAAAAAAAAAAATAAAACAATAAATTGGCTCTCTCTGAACAGCAAGCCTCTGACATTATCCAAAAAGTACACAAGGCACTACACATTGGGCCGTGCTCACTGGTTCACTTTCTTAAGCCTTTGTTCTTTCACCCTTCACTAAGATTATCTGGGAAACCTGCTCCTGCTGTCAAACATGCTCCAAAGTATCCCCACAAGGGAGAATATGTCCTCCCTCCTTTGTAGGTCATCAAATGAGGGGACATCTCCCAGGACAAGACTGGCAAATCTACTTCACCCACATGCCCTCTCACAAGAAAATCAGATATCTTTTTACTATGGTAGACACTATCTCTGGGTGGGTGGAGGCCGTTCCCGCCACTAAAGAAACAGCCCAGGTGGTAGCTGAAGCCCCAATTAACCACATCGTTCCACGCTTTGGCCTCCCTAACACTATCCAGTCAGACAACGGACCTGCCTTTATCTCCAAGATTAACCACCAGGTATCCTCCTCCCTAGGCATTACCTGGAAACTACACATTCCTTACCGACCGCAATCTTCCAGTAAGATAGAACAAGTAAACAGTTTAACCAAAGACCACCTAACTAAACTTTCTTCTGAACTACACAAATCTTGGATTGATTTACTCCCACTAGCCCTAATGTGCATCTGGGCCACCCCCACCATGGCCCTCTATTTCTGAGTCCGTTTAAACTAATATATGGTAGACCTTTTCTTATTAACCATGTACTCCCAGTGCAGCCTACACTGTTGGCTGGATATCTTCCATACTTCTCTTTGCTCAGACAGCTCCTCCGGGAACACACTGACCGATATCTGCCACAACCTGTGCCCACATCGGCAAACAAGCCTGCTGACCCAGGAGACCAGGTTCTTGTAAAAGTCATTTCGCCAAAGCTGCTACAACCCGCACACGGTGATCCTGACTCCTCCAATGGCAGTTAAAGACTTGGGTAATCCCTCCAGGCACCACCTGTCCAGGGTAAAGGTAGCCTCACCAGAGCATTACTATGTATGTAAACCTCTGGGGCCTACTTGGCTCACCATTTCTGCTATACCTGCTTCTTCCAGTAACCTCACCTGACCTATCTCCTATATATGTCTGGCAATTTAAGGTCTGGGAAACCTAAAAAAAAAAAAAAGTCAATCTTATGGCTCTATTACTAATCTAGTGGGGAAGGCTGACAGTCCTAACACAGGATGCGTGGCTCCTGTTACTATTTTTATGTCCCTACAAACAGGGATAAAAGTTATCTTATGTTGTGCTTCAAATATGACCAAACCCAGCCTCATACTGCACAGACCCAAAATGGGATGAATATGGGGGCTGCGTGTACTGGTTATGCAAAACTCACCAAATAGGGCATCAACCTCAAGGAAAGCAGACAATTATATTATGATCAGGAAAAAGAACTCTGTACTCCTCCAAATCTTGGATCTATGGGACAGTCAATGACAAACAGGAACTGGGGTGGCTATATACGGGCTTGGTAATTCCAGACCAGTGGCCACCTTATACATCTTGCGAGAGTATGTTCAGTCCAGTCACTCCCCAGTAATAGTAGCTCAGGATATAGTCCATCAGGAACAGATCTTACTAGAACAGATAAACCAACTAATATAAAGCCTGATCCATATCAATGGATCCACATTTTATAAGCAGCTCTAACTTTTCTAAACTAAACTAACTCCAGTTTCAATATCACTCACTGTTTTTTTGTGTGCATCCCTTCAATGCCCACTCCTAGCTGCAGTTCCCATGGATGCAACCGGTCTAAGCCAGGCAACACCTTGCTCCTTTCATCCTGAAATCCCCCTTTGGGAGCCAACAGACCGGGAGGAACGGTTACTTATGGTTTGCTGTTGGCTCCCCAAAGAAAGCTGTCACCATCCCCTCTATCACATTTGTGTACTTATAACCACACCATCTCAAATCCCCTCTATTCATCCTCCAGTTTTCTGTTATGGTGCAACAGCTCCCTATCCTCATGTATTAACACCATGGTGACACCTCCCTGTGTACCAGTACCAGTAACTCCCCAACCAGCGCTGTATGGACAGTCAGAGCTCGCCTGGCAACTACATACCCAAGGCGTACCTGCAGGGCAACCTTCCTACCCATTCTAGTGGGCTTAGGCATGGCTTCCTCTGTTGCATCTCTCTCTTTTGCAGGCGGGGCACTTGGCCACTCTCTTCGTTCTGCACAGGAACTCACAAATAAACTTCAGGAGGCCATAGACTGGTCATCAATGTCTCTAGCCTCACTCCAGAGGCAACTAACCTCACTCACCGAGGTTTCCCTTCAGAATAGAAGGGCTCTGGATCTCCTAATGGCCAGAAAAGGGGGTACCTGCTTATTCCTCAAAGAAGAATGTTGCTATTACATCAGTGAATCAGGTTTTGTGGAAAAAAATGTAAGAAAGCTCTTGCAATTGGCAGAAGACCTTGAACATCAGGCACAGGGAGACAGCTCTCCTTTTGCCTGGCTGAGTCACTCTCTGGCTACATGGGTACTCCCCTGAAGGGACCACTAATTCTAATTTCATTATTTTTTCTCCTTGCCCCTTGTATGCTCCTGTTCATCCAACACTGCATTCGAGAGATGACTCGCATCACCTTCAACCAACTAGTGCTATACCCCTACTCAAGCCTCCCCACCGGTGAGCCCAGCTGTTGACCTTGCTTCTTGACCTCTCCTCCTCACACTGCCCCGCATCAGCAGGAAGTAGCCAGAAAGAATACTTCCCCCTTTATCCTATAACTAAGAGGTCGGAATGTAAGTTCGAGGCCGGGGCAGCGATGAGGCAGAGGGAGGAATTTGAAACTGCAGCCACCTGTATCCCGGGAGCTGGCTCTAACCGGTTTGCACCATGCCTGATAAGCAGCCATGAAAGAACAACAAGCTGCAACAACAAGAGAGAATAACTTCTTTGAAAAGCAACTTCACTCTACCTCCCACAAAGTCATACTTGGTCCTGTAAAAGATTACCCTCATGCCCTGAGAGGCGCAACTTCTCTGATTCCCGCAGGGGTCAGTGAACTTCACTGGGGCACAATAAACTTTTTGCCTGTGAGAAACTTATCCTGCCTTTCCTTTTCTTTACCACGCCAAACCCTTTCTATATTGTGTTTACTATCCTCCAAGCTCTGGCCTTCCCACCTTGGCTGGAATTAAGGGTATAGTCTGAAGTGTAAGCATTTGCTTCATGGTCAAGGCTTTCTTCAGGGACCACCACATTGCTACGCAGCAGGAGGCGCCTCCTTGGGGGAGGTCTTACAGTGGTGCTGGAGGGTTGAGGGGCTAGACTGATGGATTTGGTCCTGCATTCCTGGTCCCCCTCCAGCTACGTGCCTGGCACTGAGGTGGTACTGGACTCCTGGGGACCCTAGAGCAGGGGGCCTGGATTGGAGGTGGTGCTGTGCTCCCAGGAGTCCTCCACCAGGCAGGCCAACACAGAGTTGGTGCTGTGCTCCTGGGTGACTGCCAGCAGGGGGCCTGGCAAGGCGGTGGTATTGTGTTTCCAGGCTTCCTCCAGCGGGGGACCTGGCTCGGAGCTGATGCTGGGATCCAGTGGGCCCTGCAGCAGGGACCCTGGCACAGAGGTGTGTCCCGACCCACGGGATTCGTAGGCACGAAAAGAGAAGGGCTGAGGATTGAAATGAGGGGCTTGAGACAACTTGACGCTAGCGTTTACTTCTTTATTTTTCCTTTTCCTTTCTTTTACTTTTCCCTGTCTTTCTACCTTCCCTGACCTTCTCTCTGCTCCTCTCGCAATAACCTCTCTCGCAATAACCTCCTGACCTTCTCGTGGTTCTCTTCTTATATCCTGGTAGCTCCTCCCATCATACCTCCCAGTCTCATTTGATTAATAGGAAACACCTGTGGTTTCTCAGCAGGCAAAACGGTAAAGCGAAAACTAATTAATGGCACGTGTGTTGCACAACACGGCGCATGCTCCAGGCGGCTCCCGACATCTCCCCCTTTTTTCTTTTAAATGAGACACCTGGCCTGTCTTAGGTTGGCATATTCCGTGACCAGCCTTACCCGTCATCGCTAATCCGGCGCACTTGGCCCAGACCGCTGTCTTAGGTTGGTCTGGACGGGCTACGCTCTTACCCGTCTTTGGCTCTCAGGTTCTCTAGGGCTAAGTTGACCCATCCGGATACCACTGGGGAGTCCTGGTCAAGTACCATGGCGCCAAGTACTTGCCTGACCGCAATAGCACGTTTTTTGTTTCGCCTCCGTAGCCGACGGAGAAACCATATGCCGAATGCACAAATAGCAACTCTGGGAGGAGTCCTCTAAACCAGGCAATGAGACCCTTACTCAAAACAGGGTAACCCGAGTGTTGTTAACAGTTATGAGCTGTCTCGCCAATTGAGAGGTCAGGTTCAGGAGCTGGTGGTTCTAAGGTCCTCTGATTACACTATTTAACCTATTTTCTTCCATAAACATATTTTTCACCATAACAGGAATTACACAAATAAAACTCTACAAAAAGTTACAATGCATGTGAGCAGTTAACAAAAGTGTGTATCTCTTTTTACATCAGAGCTATCTGCTAATTAAGCATCAAAAGTCCATTTCATAAATGTTCATTCATATCTTGCTATGTTGATAACACAATAACAACATTGGCAACTAAATTGTTTATAGTGTCAGCATTTGCAGCAGTTTGAGTGACAGACGGTGGCGGCAGCCGCGGCCACCACTATTGAAACAGCGACAACAGCTGCAGTGATGCCAAAATCACGTCTCCTCCTAGGTAGAACAGGAGAAAGATGTGCAGAAACATCCACGGGTATGACTAAAGTAGAAGGCAGACGAACGATCACTGCCCTCTCCGCACTCCGGGACCAGCAGGCAGAGAGGGTGCAGGGCTCCCCTGAACAATTCAACACAGTTGTATTTCCTGCATTATTGAAGAGGACAAAAAAGAAGGAGGGGACAGGCAAACAACAGTAGACAAACTCTCTGATCTATTATTCTGGATACTAACGGATTGTTCAATGGTAGAACTAATGTTTGCAGATTAAATGTCATTAAATAATTTTACCTCACCCTGGCCCAACAGGGCACTATCCAATGGTTTGGAAGCCAGAAAGACCAGTAGTAAGATTAGTGGCAAATACTTGCGGAAAAGTGGAATCATGACAATCAATGAGGAGCAAAAAAAACAGTTGATGCACAATCGCCCATCCTACTGACATCTGGGACGCTCGTGTCATCAAGGTTAGCAGGGTCAGGTACATCGACAAACCGAACCAATTGAGCAGGAACCCATCGGGGTTATTCCGCATCCTGTGGGAAAAGACAAATGCTGCCGGGCAGCTGTATTAATACTGGTGTGGGTGGTTGCCACTCATTATTAACTGGGTCCTTCCATCTCGCTTGCAGCATCGTGACCTGCCGAGGGTCTGGCGACCAGTGCCGATCAGCAGCTGACCGCCCCTGGTATCTAGGGTCAAAAAATTAAGGGTAAAGAGAGCTGTAGTCAAACGGTCCTTGGGGGAGTGTTCTCCCCCTGTTTGTTTTAAAAGCATAGTTTTCAGAGAACCATGGGCACGTTCAACTATACCCTGCCCCTGCGGGTTGTATGGAATTCCTGTTTTGTGCACAATGCGATGGACCGCACAAAAGGAGGCAAAGGCCTTACTGGTATAACCAGGACCATTATCTGTCTTAATGACACGTGGGCGGCCCATTACTGCAAACGCTTGTAACAAATGTGAGTGGACATCAGAAGTCTTTTCACCGCAATGTGGGGAGGTGAAAAGAAAACCAGAGAATGTGTCAATGGAGACATGGACCAGGCTCTGTCGTCCAAAAGAAGGTACATGAGTCACATCGGTTTGCCAAATATGGTTAGGGAGGATGCCCCGGGGGTTAACTCCTGGGGGTGGCACAGCAGCTGGAGCAAAAGTCGCACACTTGTGACAGGCACGAACAATGTCACGAGCTTGACGACGATTCAACCTGTAACGACCCTTAAGTGATGTGGCGTTGGTGTGCAAGACTGCATGTTCTTCCATAGCACTCTGAAGTGCTGGACAAATTAGATGTCCCCTAGTAAGAGAATCAGCTGCGGCATTGCCAGCCGCTAAAGGTCCTGGCAATGGAAGATGACCTCTGATGTGACCCACAAAAAGGTGATGAGTTCTCTTACGAATCAGTGTTTGCAACTGATGAAGGAGGGGTGCAATGGAACTATGAACAGAAATATGAGCAACAGTTTCCAAAACATTTAAAGCATGTACCAGATATTTGCTGTCAGAAAACAAATTGATAGGTTCTCGTGAGTAGGTCTCGAGAGCCGAGAGGACGGCGGTCGCCTCAACGACTTGGGCTGAACCACTGGGCACCGAGACCACCTTCCGATCCCCTTCAGAGACAAAAGAGGCTGTACCATTACTGGAGCCATCTGTAAACACTGTCCGCGCCCCCGCAATAGGTTCAGTAATGAGGATCCTGGGGAAACAGACTGGATGATTTTGTAAAAATTTGCATAAAGGGTTGCTAGGATAATGCAAATCAAAAAGTACTGACGTGGTAAAATAAAGGATACTCCATGTTTCATCGTGGCGTATTAACCACTGATTTTGTTCTTTGTTATAGAGGAGAATCACCGCTCGCGGGTGAGTACCTGAAAGATATAGGCTGGAGTCCAGAGCCGTTTGTACAATTCTGGCAACCGAATGAAAATAAGGCTCTAAGACTCGTTTTGGACAGATGTTAAGATGGATCCAATAAACGGGACCATCTTGCCATATAAGTGCTGTGGGAGTAAGGTTACTACAAAATACTAAGACATCAAAAGGGTGAGAGACAGACAATCTATTTAAGGTCACCTGGGCTAGAGCCTTCTCGACTCTAGTGATCGCTTCACGAGCTTCCTGCGTAATGACTCTAGGAGAAGCAGGGTCTGCATCTCCTTTCAACATGTCAAAAAGAGGCTTCAGCTCTCCCGATGTAATAGAGAGCGAAGAGCGTATCCATGCTAGATCGCCGCATAGGCGTTGGAAATCATGCAAGGTGCGAAGGTGAGCTACTGCCAATTTTGGTACTGCTGGAGCATAACTGCCTTTACTCAAATGGTATCCTAAATACTGAAAAGGCTCAGCCATTTGTAACTTCTCAGGAGCAATCTTTAGCCCTGACATCAATAAATGATTCTCTAGGTCCTGGAAACAGGCATACAGCAGGTCAGACGTGGGAGCTGCCAGTAACAAATCATCCATATAATGATATACATGCACTCGTGAATGTTTGACTCTAACAGGAGCAATGACTCTGGAGACATAAATTTGGCAAATAGTGGGACTGTTCGCCATACCCTGAGGAAGGCACACCCATTGATATCTATCATGCGGGGCAGCAGCATTAATGGCCGGGATAGAAAATGCAAAGCGTTTGGAGTCTTGATCATGTAATGGAATAGTGAAAAAACAATCCTTAAGATCTAGGATCAAGATACAATGATCTCGTGGAATGGCACCTGGAGAAGGAATGCCAGGTTGCACTGGTCCCATAATCTCATAGTCGCATTCACTGCCCTAAGGTCCTGTAATAGTCTCCATTTTCCAGACTTCTTTTTGATAACAAAGATGGGAGTATTCCAGGGGGAGGTAGACGGGACTATGTGTCCGTCCTGTAGCTGTTCTTCTACTAACATTCTTGTAGCCTCTAACTTCTCTTTTGGCAAGGGCCACTGTGGTACCCACACAGGTGTGTCAGATTTCCAGGTGATAGGAATGGGCGTGGGTGGAGGCCTAATCACAGTGGCCCCTAGAAAAAAGGGTAACCGAGCCCTCGTTTATCCCCCGCTTCCCTCGTCACTTCACGTAGATTAAAAGAGGGAGACCCTTGCTGTTGTTTACCCAAACCTTGTCCAGGCACGTAGCCTTGATTAATCATCATTTGGCCAGCTGGACTATCCGTGACTAATGAAGCCCCCATCTCCACCAGAACATCTCGTCCCCAGAGGTTCATGGGTATTCCAGGGAGGATATAAGGTTGAAATTGCCCACTATGGCCTTCATTGTCCTTCCAGCGGAGCACAGTAGTACTCCTGGAAGGATTTTGGGATATTCCCAGACCC